CTGTAATCTAAGTAAGTATCTGAGATTAGATATTCTTAAGAAGAGATGGATGGTTTGAGAGGATATAAATTGAGATGATGCAAGTTTTATTGTTATTAGGAAAGAAAAAGTCAATGCAGATTGCTGTTTCTAGAAGAGTATTGATTTTGTGAATATATGATTGTAGTTGATTACAGACCATTAGTACAGTTCTTAACTAAAATCATGCTGGTTTAGTTTGTATAATATAAAGTTTAAAGTATAGATTTTGTATAAGGAGTTATTTAGTGATTTTGTTGTTGATTCCTTTAGTTTAGTTTTAGTAATTGAGATTATATACAAATTAGATTCTATACAATATTTGATCTATGTTTGCATTTTTAATATGTTATTAATTTCTCTAACATTATAAGTGGCTATGTTGATTTTTTTGTTTAAATTAAATTCAATTAGGTTTAGTTCATTTGATTGTTCTTCTAATTGTTGGATAATTATAGCAGTCTCATTGCTATTGATGAATATGTTTAAGTCATGTTTTATCATTAGAAAAAAATAGTTTTAAAAACATCATAATTAGAAACTAAAAGTGGTGATAGTAAAAGAATCTTATCTGAAATAGTTTCAATAGTAAAGTGTTGATACAGAAATTCAAGAGTTTTGTTTACTTTTGCTTGTTCTGTTATAGGGATTGCTATATGTATTACTTTTATGTTTTTTGTTTTTAGGTATTCCATAATTGCTAATGGAGTATTGGGAATGATTGGTTTGTCAGATTGTTGTTTAGTGCTAGGTGCTGTATTTTTTTTATTAGTTTTGTTAATGGATTCTTCTATCTGTATCCAGGTCTCTGGAATTCGATAAAAATAATAATTTTTTCTAAGCATTCTTGATGTATCTACTAGCTGTTTTCTTGAGGTTATAGAAGTGGTAATGTTGTAATCATTAATCTGTTGTAGATCATCAAGTAACTAAGGTTTATCAATAGGGTTTGCTGTTATAATGTTTGGCAGGAGTGGAAATAAGAATTTGTAAACTAAGGAAATTTGTTTAACAAAATGTTTTGCAATTGTATCTTTTTGAATTGGAAAAGTAAAAATGTCTGGGGTTTATATCTTTTCTATATTTTTTGAAAGTAATGATTTGGTCTTAAAGTAATTATTTAGAATATTCTTAAAGTAGTAGTCTTCTCTTAGCCACTGTACTAAGTCTGTTAGGTCTGTATCTTGGTTTTGCATATTGATATGAAAATGAAGTTTGTATTTGCTATTTAGGTCCTGGTAAGCTAGTAGAAATGGTTGTCTTAGAGGTGAAAGGTTAAAGTAGTTTGATGAAATAGTTGTGCAGTCATACCAATCTTGCAATTTTTTTCTGTAAAATGCTAGGTTTTGTAATGCACTTCAGCTTGTTATTGGGAATAGGCCCTTTACTGCTAGGTTTAGCTTTGATATCTCTGTTAGCAAGAGTTCTAATTTGATAAAGTATTCTTCTAGTAGTTGGTCAAAGTTAAAAATTTTGTGTAGTAAAGTAACAATGGCTTTTATATATGCATACTGGCTGATTGGTAACTTGAATAACAGCATTTGTATGATGTTTTTAGGTATTTTTTTGGGGTTTGCAGGAAGAAGTTCAAATAGTATTGCAAATACTGTTTTAATTGCTTTTTGAATATCTTCTATTTTAATAAGTATTTGTTCTTTTATAAATTTTCTATAGTATTTAATTATTTGGTAAACTTTCTTAGAAGTTAGTTTGTTGAAGTTTTTATTAGTTATAAAATCTATCATGATCTTTTGTTGAAGTTTTTAGTGTATTACATCTCTAGTTGCCTTGTCTGTAATAGTAATTGTGTTTAGGTTTTTGTTATTGCTAATGCTTTCTTGAACAATTCTTCATAGGCAGCTTGATGTAGAATTATAAATTTCTTTGTCAAGTGAAGATAAGAAAAAATATAGTATCTAGATGTCTAAATTTTGCTTCAATTACAGGATGAATTGTGTGATTAGTATATTTGGTTTGTAATTAATGTATTACAAAATTAGTAATTCCTTGTTTATCTTTGCGTGATTCTATAATTTTGTCATAATTTTATTTTTTGGTATTGAAAGGTTCAATGCTATCTTTTCTGATACTTGGCTAAATGGTATCTGTCCATAATTGGTTATAATCTTATTCATCATCAGTTTGTATTCTTTTCTCTATTGCAATGTTTTGTTTTGTTACTTAACTATAGATTCAGAGTTTAGGTCCTGTCTGGTGACTAACTATTATATCTATTGATTTTGTTTCCATTCTGTTGTTGTTTTCTTCATTATTATATATGACATTTTGACTAGTTGTTGCTTAGGTATTTTCTACAATTTGGATAATTGTTTCACCACTATTTTTGGTAATTGAATCTGTGTCTGTCTCCATTAACATGTTATTATTATTATTTATAATAATATAAGTTATGCTGTTGTGAGAAATAATTATTTGCTTATTATTATTGCTTAGCATGTTTACAGTTGTGTTTTTAGAACCTGTTGCAATTGGTTTGTTGTTGTTGTTATTGGTACGAAATGATGTTATTGCATTTTCTGACAAAGGTGTGTCTAATTATCAACTTTTTGTATTATTTTTTATTCTAGAAAGAAGTGTACATCTTCTTTTTGTTGCTTGATTAATATAGATCTTGTCTACTTTGTTATTGCCTTTGCTTTTTGATATCTTACTTGTTGTCTTGTTGTTCATTGGTAATTGTAACTGGACCTGGAAGAAAAATTTAGATGTAGGACCCTAAGGTCATTGTATGTCTTCTTTAGTTGTAGAAGTAGTCTCTTTATTTCTTTTCCTCTTAATCTTTATTTATTTGTTGTTGGTGTTTCTATATCTCTTTGTTCACTGCTGCTATTCAGCTCAAAGTAAGCTTTTGCTATATAATTATTTAGTTTCCTTTACTTGTTTCTATGTTGTATATATTCGATTTTTTATTTCTTAGTAAATTAGAATCTACAAGAAAGAGTCCATATTTGTCTTTTAAATTAATCAATTCTTTGTAATTTATTTTAACTATTAATAATTTTTTTTGAAATTTTTATTATTTTTGATTTATTCTGTTAATTTATTATTTTGAATTATTAAAAGATTTATTTTTTATTAAAACTTTTTTCAATTAAAGAAATTTATAAAAATTTTATAGTTACATTTTTTTTGTTAATTATTCAAATAAGCTTTTATTCAATCCAGTTTTCTATATAAATAGTTTAACTTTTATTTTTCAACAGAAATTATAATAATTTCAATTGCATTTAAAATCAACAATTTATATAATTATTATTTAGTTCTAAAGAGTTTTTTTTAAAAAAAGGTTTACAGTTATCAAAATATAAAGATATTAAAGACCAAGAAATATCAATTTGTAAAACGTAAAAAAAAAAAAAAAAACAAGAAATACCAACTTATGATAAGTAAAAACAATAAATATTGCTTTATAAAACATATATATATATCAATTTGTAAAAAATTAAATCAAGAAAAATGATGTTTTATTGATATAAGAGAATGTTAATGTTAATAACGATATTGGAGTAACAATCTTTTTTACAGCCACAGCCACTCACATGCCCGAAATTTTTTGTTGGTTGCTAGGGAAAATGAATCCCATGATCTAAAAGTACTAATAAAATCCACACCCAAGATGTCACTTTAACACGAAAAAAAATATGGGTTTGAGCTTTGTATAATCATAATCACCGAATTTTTGTTGTGATTATATCTATATACTAATGAACTGGTTTTGCTAGTGAACTGGTTTTGCCAGTGAACTGGTTTTGCTAGTGAACTGATTTTGATAGTAAACTGGTGTTGTTAAGAACTAATTCATTTCTAATCAATTACTAATCAATTACTAATTAATAGCTTACAATGAACGGGCCAGAACCTAGTCCAGATAAAAATAACCTAGTGTTATTTTTAATAAAAAGGGAGTATTTTCGGGTTAAATTCGCAAGGACTTTGCAGCCTAAATGATATATAATATATATATATATATATAATATACATGAATGAGTGGATTTAGTGATTGTTTTAACCGTTATCGTTATGACATCTGTAAATTATCTGCATTGTATCGGTAAACCAGTTCCGTACTGGGTTGTGAACTAGTTCCTAGCTAGTTGGGGACATATTTTTTTAAGCCCCGAATCTGGACAGGTTTTTTAATGACGTTTATTGTTACATTTTATTAAAAAATAAAAATATTAAATTATATGTTTTTTATGGTTAGGAAAATCATGTGACAGAGACACGATTATGATTATTAACAATTGATATAGAATAGGCGTCTCATATATTATATTTGCTATTTTCATATAAAAAATTAGAAACTTTATGATTTGAGTGACGAAAAGGTAAAAACTTGTAAATTAATTAACATCGAATTCAGCCTTTGATGAATCTTGATATCTGATTCTACAAGATTAGTTTTGGAACTCATTTATTATTATTATTTATTTTTTTTTAGATAATACAATTTATTCGTAAAAAGATGTATTGGATAATAGTCAAAGCTACATTTTATCGAAGTGACTAACTAGAATGATCAACTTTACAAGTTATTTTGATCGCATTTAATCATTTCAAGATTAATTTTGTGGAGGCTGAGTTTGACAAGGTGAAAGATGGTTAATCAATTTATAGGTTATCACACATTTATCGTGATTGTTATCATCAAGGGTCATGTTGAAAAAAAAAAGTCGCAACCTCCCTACACTAACGATGTAAAGAAAAAAAAAAGTATTTTTTTTATCATTTTAATGCAATGTCGTTAATGCAATGTCAGTATATGAGGGGGTTTTTTTTTTCCTTAGAAAAATGAGATTGAACAATAAATAATCTCTGTTTTTTAAAACTTGTACATAAACTATCTATAAATTTACAATGTTTCTGCTTCTTTTTTTTAAAAAAAAATCCACGATAATGGACAACACCTCGTCATTACTTAATGCATCCAGGCATTTTAAACATAATTCATAGGCAATTAATTAATCATCAATGGTCCATTTTTTAGGACCCGGCTCAGTCTCTAGATCATCCCAAATTTGTACCAAAGGGACAGGAGTTTGTGGAGTAATTTCACCTTGATCATCTTTTTTGTTAACTGAATTAACATTAAAAGAAAAGATATATGTGTAAGAATTAAGAAATACAAAAAAAAAAATAAAATAAAATTAAAAGTTCCAAGTTTTGATTAAATTAAACACATACGACGTTCTTTTAATCCATAACCAAAACTTTTCAATACTTTAACACCAAAAACAAATAATAGCTATGAAAAAGAAACACCAATTAGTAAGAAGAAATGGATCAAAACCATATTTGGAAGTAACATGCTACACGTACCACAGAATTTACAATCAACAATGTAACTACAAATAAAATAGAATATATAAACTAAATAACAAAAAAGGCAAAAACAATAAAAGACAAAACAAGAAATCTATACATACGGATAATGATTCCGAAATACCAATAACTTTTATATTCAATAAAAAAGATAAATGCACAAATCATAGCAAACACAAAATCAACTATAACAGCAATCCATAGAATCAAAAATATTTTCATTCCTAATCTATGTTCTGTTGCGACCTATTATTGAAAAAAAATAAAAGATTAGATAGAAAATTCAATTCGAATTAAAACAAAAAAAAAAACATAAATAAATAATAAATAAAGGAATAAATAAATAAATAATAATAAAAAATAGAGATATATACAAATCGGTAAGCCAGTATTTCCAAGATAAGTACTAATATTGTAACGACCAAATGAACTATTATAAACCCGGTTGTAAGTGCACTATAATCACTATTTTGCCAGTTATTGACAAGAATGATGATCAATGAAGGAATCATGAATAATAGTACGGCTAGTAGATTAAGTTTCAGCAACATCAAGAAAAGTAAGTGTTGTTTGTATATACCTATTCAAAAAAAGAAAAGAATAAATTAAAAAAGGTAACATAAACACACAAATTATATTTAAAAATTATATTAAAAGTTACATTAAAACAAATATTATAAGTATTATAAAAAGAATAAATAGAATTATTACATCTCATTTTAGGGTCACCACCGATTTTCTTGTAATTAACCCAACCAAATTGTTTATAAAGTTTATATGAAAGGTAAGACATGACAATTGCAAAAAAGAGGAGTACTATAACACATGGAATATCGTGCCCCAAGAAATTTGGCGAGAAATTAGGTTGATTTGCACATTGAGAGAGAGCATCTAAATCAACTAATGATAGTTTGACTTCAACTGCTTGTACCTTAGGAAAAAAAAGAAAGATATTAAGATTAAGTGAAGTTAAGTGAAATTAAGTGAAAGGAAGAAAGAAGGGAAAGAGGAGAAATGCTTACAGTTCCATAAAGAGCCCAACAAAAATTTAGTATTGTAATTGTTAAAATTTGAATAATATGTTCATGAAATATCTATAAAATGCAACAAACATCATGGATTCAAACATCATGAACTTTAATTAGCATACATACTCGAATAATATTTTCGAATTACACATTCGAATAATATTTTCGAATAATATTTTCGAATAGTTACAAAGATTTTAAAAGAAAACTTACAGCATTAAAACAAAAGTATAATTGAAACGCTTGAAATAAAATAAAAATCATATTATCATAGGCAAGAAAGGGAAATCTTGGGTTATTTCTACCATCAAATTGTTGGCAACCCTCTCCAGAAAAGTTTTTATTTTTTGCAATTTGATAATCACTTGTCCAAGTAAAAGTGAAACTTAAATTACGGAATAATATTCTAAATTGAAGAATGATTATGATTATGCATTGGAGTATGGAACATAAGACGAAAAGTTTTGTATATATTGATGCATTTAATTTCGACCACTTTATGAAGGAAATGAAAAAGATCAGTAAGAATTTAATGATTGAATAGCATACAATCTTAATAGTAGTAATAACATTTGTTCAATATTTATGTTTACGTACCTTTTTCAAAGCATTTCTCTTGACATTAGTAAAAACAGGCACCATTTTGTGTGATAAATTAATTTCGAAAGTGAGAAAAATATATAATGTATATATAATGTATATATAAATATATAAAAAGATGAAGGTTCGTTGGTTGTTGACAAGTACCAAATATTTAATAATAAAGTGACCTTATGAAAAGTGCGATAAAATGAATGCTTCCTATCAAAGGAAGCTAGGTTTAACTGCGGGACTAATTGATTAAAATGATCCAAGCTAACCACGATCGAATCCGAAAGAAGTTTTTATTATTCCTATGTATGCTAGTACGTAGGTACGTATGTAACTCGGAAGAACATGAGTTAATAGAGACATAATGATTTCTGGATGATTTCATTTATAATTAAAAACTTGATGCATTGAAAGTGATACAGCTTATCATTTTTACCTTTTAAAGGTATAGACTACTATACAAAGCAGCGACTAAGGGGTCCTTTTAGTGAAACTTTTATGCAGCTCATACACACAAAGCACTCCGAAAGTTTCTTGATCGAAAAGTTGTTTGAATTTAAAGTAGTTCTCAATTTGTCCAAACTTTTGATGCGAAATATATGCAGTTAATCAATAAATATAGTCATCAAATTATTATACTTATTATTAATACTTATTATTTTACGATATTATAAACACTGATAGTTTTTTTAAAAACTGATCAGTACCCTCGGTAATTCTACCAGAAAACGTCCGGACATTGTGTAACTTTTGATAACTACATTTATAACTAAATTCAGAAACAGGTTTATATAAAAGAATAAATGTTTACTTGAATACAGGAATAAGTAGGATTAAGTCGATGTATTATATTTATTGTTACCTATAGACTTTACGAAATGAGAGTACGTACGAAATTTCTACACAGCCCGGAAATACTTGTACATCATATCGATATTATGTACCATCAATGTATGCACTATATATATATATCAGAATATTATTATTACACTACACTACGTATACGTATTACTATTACACTATTACACACTAACACTAACTATATTACTACGTATTACACTAATATCATTACACTACGTATACGTATTATCATTACTATTACAGTATATTATTATGCGTTACCACTGCCATTATTGATTTTATTATCTATTACTATAGATGACTATAGACTACCATAGACTACTATAGATTACTATAGATCGAGATGACTATAGGATTAATATAGATTACTATAGGTTACCATAGATGACTATAGGTTACCATAGATGACTATAGGTTACCATAGGTTTACTATAGGTTACCATAGGTTTATTATAGGTTACTATAGGTTATTATAGACTACTATAGGTTACTATAGACTACTACTGACTACTCTATAGATTACTATAGATTACTATAGATTACTATAGATTACTATTTGTAAAAACAAAAAAAATTATCGGGAATATTTTTACCAATGAGATATTATTTTAACGAGAATTGTTGTAACAGAAAAGTCAATCAATCCTTTGAATTAAATTTAGAATTTTGAAATATCAATTTTGTATATAATGTGTTTAGTTACATATGCTCTTGTACAGTATATACGTACAGACAATACAAATACAATTAAAAAAACAAATCACGGGAATTAGTAAATAGTTAATCCGAACAATCCGAATATAACGATAAATGTTAGGTTGTTGTACATACCATTTAATATTATGCGGACCGTAATGATTTTAAAGGTAAGTAATGTAAATCCAAAACCGAAAAGAGCATGTGTTGTTAGCACATGGTACATTTGAATTACGTATTTATTAACATATGTAGTAACATGTACTTACCGATTTAAATAAATATATTAAATTTATTGATTATTAAATCTACGTAAAAAGACATCACAACATTAATCTTTCTTTTTTTTTTTTTGCCCTTCTTTTATTATCATCATTTTATACATTCCCTTTCTCCTCTTCGAAAGATCGACTTTCTTTCGCATAAACTCGCATAGATTTATAATATGCCACGTGATTACATTTAAGAATTATCATCACGTGTAGTTTTCTCCAGGGCATTAGTTGGTCTAGTATAATAATTTTGATGATTGCATTGGTCACAGTGCAATGGTCTCAACACTCGTTTTTCAAAATTTTAAGAGGAATTGTATAAAAAAAGTATGTTAACCATTATGAAAATTTATAAAAATTTATAAAAATTTATAAAAATTTTATAAAAATACATAAAATGAACATAAATATATATTTTATATATATATTTTATATATATATTAATACAAAATTATAATATTTCGATTTTTTATAGTGGCAAAGAATAACCGCCTCAAAAACCACCAAATTTGCCGTAATATTAGCGATATTCCAAACCATTTTCATCGTAGTTTTTCAAATGAAACTCTTGACACGCAATGTCAATCTTCAACTAACTCCGAATCCATATACACGAGATTTTCAAAAGTCAAACAATGAATGCTACGACGAACTTATTAGAAATTTTAGTGGAATTCCGTTAGAATTTTTGGCAGGAAATAATGTCATTTTTATCGTGTTTCATATTTGGCAGCTCTATTTATTTTTCAATGCGGTAATTAATCCTTAAATTAATCAATTAAAAAAATAATCAATTTAAAAAAAATCAAATTGAAAATCAATTAGAAATTTAGAGATCAATTGAAAATCAATTTAAATAATATATAATATTGATCTATTTTGTTAATTTTTAGGTATTTCACGAACACTCCATTCAAATAGTGACCATTTGTTTTTTTAATTTTGGATGGCTTTTCTTTGGTCTCGTAAGTTGTTTATTCATTCATTCTCCATCAGTTTTCTACTAGTTCTTTTTTCATCTTTATATTAATTTCATATTTATCAAAGGTCCAAGGCCTGGAACTAAAGTTCCCTTTAAATCAATTACATAATATTAAAGCATGTGTAGGAAAAACAGATTTTGATCCTTCATTTTGGACAAATGACATTCCATTCCTTTGGATACTTATATTACTCACTGCAATATCGACCTGGTTTTCGCTTAAGCTCTATAAGCAATTCGGATGGAATATCTATAAAAAAATAGGCGGTGATGTAAAGATGCGAGGTATAAAAAAAGATACATATTACTTTAACTATTTTATATTATCTTTTTTACATTAATAAATTTTTTTTTTTTTTTTTTTTTTTTTTTTTTTTTTTTTTTTTTTTTTTTTTTTTTTTTTTTTTTTTTTTTTTTT